TGACTTGTTTCTTATGTTCCTAAACCAACCATTCTCCTTACGTAATATCTTTTAAAAGCCCCAAGACTATCTTTTTACAGTCAGACTAACTGGGATTGTTCCTGTCACCTGATTGTATCATTCTGTAGTGTTGGCATCCGTGTGTCCCAACCTGTGGGAACTCACAAGGGTGGGAGCTACGTGTCCTCCTCTCTCTGCTGTTCCCTCAATTCCCAGCATTTCCCAAATGGTGGCTGATGACCACCTGGTGGTGTAGCAAGGAAAGGATGCTTTTACTCTCCAGAGCCCCCTACCATACCTGCTTCTTGACATGGTCGATCTCGGATCTCAGCCTCTGGATCATGCGGTTGATCTCAGAAATCTCCTGCTTGGTGTTGCGCAGGTCATCCCCGTGTCTGCCTGCTGTGATTTGCAGCTCCTCATACTGGAATCCAGAGAGAGAGAGACAAGGCGGTGTATGTGGGCTTTCACATGCTAACGGTGACTTGACTTCAGAGCCAGGCATTTAACACACTTGGACCTAGTGGCTTCTCCCCAAGGGATTTTAGGGAAAGTTGTTGTTTTGTAGCCTTGCTGGTGTTCAGGTAGGGGACCCAGGCATTCCTGGGCAGCTGTCAACTCAAGGCTCACCTTGCTCTGGTACCAGGACTCAGCCTCAGCCCGGCTCCTTTGAGCGATCTCCTCATATTGGGCTTTGACTTCAGCGATGATGCTGTCCAGGTCCAGGTTACGGTTGTTGTCCATGGACAGGACCACAGAAGTGTCAGAGACGTGGGTTTGCATCTGAGCGAGTTCCTGCAGAGCAGAAGATCATCAGATCATCTTCTCCTGTGGCATTCCAGAGGTATCCAACCCCAAGCTCTTCCACCCTTTGCAGAGCCCCATCACAGCAAATAAAAGAGGAGTGGAGATGCTTACTGCGTCATACAAGGCTCTGGTGAAGTTGATCTCATCTGTGAGAGTGTCTACCTTGGCTTGCAGTTCAACCTTATTCATGTAGGCAGCATCCACATCCTGGGGAATAAGCCAACAACTTGGAGTGAGTCAGCCGAGCCCTCCTTCCCAGTCTGAACACCTTTTAGTCTCCCCATCTATTCCCCTCTGGATGTGTGCAGAGACCCAGAGTCCTCTCCCTCTACAAAGGAACACGATCCCCAGACCTTCATCGGCTCACCTTCTTCAGAGTCACAAATTCATTCTCTGCTGCTGTGCGCTTGTTGATTTCATCTTCATATCTAGAATTAGAACAGGGTAAGACACAATTGAGCCAGTGGTGAAGATGATACAGCAAGATCAGCCCGGGATCCCAACCTTCCATAAAACAGATATATCCAAATTGAGCTTTCCTGCCATTGAGCCACAAAAACGATTTTTTGGTGCTCCCTCGATTCCTCCTATCTTTTCTCTCCCCACCCACCTCTGTGGCCCATTTGTTCTTTTGGGGTTGTTTTTAGGTAATAGTTGTGATTTTCATTTCCATGGGCCTGTTTCCCTATGGAACCATGCCCACCTCTAGACCTGGTCACCTGGTAGTCTTCAAGTGTGCGCTTCAGGGAACTGAACCCCTTTCTCTCCTTGAACTCACTTGTTCTTGAAGTCCTCCACTGTATCCTGCATGTTCCTCAGCTCTGAGTCCAGGCGGCCCCTCTCCCCCAGGATGCTGTCCAGCTGTCTCCTGAGGTTGTTGATGTACTGCTCAAACAAGGGCTCCAGGTTCTGCCTTACGGTCTTGGTACCCTGCTCCTGGAGCAGAGTCCACTTGGTGTCCAGGACCTTGTTCTGTTGCTCCAGGAACCGCACCTGGAGGAAGACAACAAGGTGGTTACTTGCCGGAGAAAGCAAAGGAGAAAGAGATAGGAGTTGTCAGGTGCCCAGGCGTGCCTGGGATGTCACCCAGCTCCTGGGCTACTACAGAGCATGTACAGAGGATCAGGCTGACAGTGTTGGGCCCCCAAACCTATTTCCTTCCCACCCCAGTGATCCTGCTGTGAAATTCTTCCATCACCTATGAGGTTTTCTCACCGGCTAAGCTATGCAGCCTATCAGTGACGTTCAGCATTTCCTCTGTTTTCATTGAAAAGCACAATCACACATTTCCCTGTTACGCTGCACAAAGTTCTTTTTAAATCATACCTCAGTTAAAGGCGTATTAAATGTGCAGAATCTAATGATTAAGTCCAATTTAGTCAGTGATTGGATTCCAATCACTAAAACTTCTGTTTTGGTACATGGTTCTCCTCTGCAACAAACGCTCTAATAGTCATGCTCTGGTTCTACACGGTTAGTATTTCTAGGGATATATAAACGTTTCATCCAGGCAGAAATCCCTTTCTTTTCTTTTCCTTTTCACTCTTTTCCTTTTCACTCTTTTCCTCATGCCCAGAGTCCTCGAGGAGAGTTCCACCGGCGTTATTTTTTTAGTCTCTAGGAATCTTCAGAAGGTAAAGCTAACCCATTCCGTTCTCTGACTGCCTTATCTTGCTTCATGCTTATCAAAAGTCGAGTATTCTTCCCTGGCAGGGATGAAGGACACTTAAGAGACCCAGTGGTTTTAAATGATCTCCATCACCTCTGCCTGTTGTGGACACGGAGCCCAACCGGCATCCCAGGGGAGAGCTAGTCTCAGTCCCCTTCTGCCTCCCTCCTGAGTCTCCCCCTGGCAGGACATTTGTTGGTTGTCTAGTTTGGGGGCTCTGAAATCCCAGTGGAGGCAGGTCTTCCTGGCTCACCTTGTCGATGAAGGAGGCGAACTTGTTGTTGAGGGTCTTGATCTGCTCCCGCTCCTCAGTCCTCACCCGCTGGATGGTGGGGTCGATTTGCAGGTTCAGAGGAGTGAGGAGATTCTGGTTGACGGTGACCTCTTGGATGCCTCCAGGGGGGCACACAGGGAAGCCAGAGCCCCCATAGCCACCAGCAAAGCCGGGTCCACCACCGAGCCCAAAGCCACCCCCAGCTGCACCACCAAAACCAAATCCACTTGCGGCTCCACCTCCATAGCCAAAGCCACCTCCAACTCTGCCCCCATATCCGCCACTGATGGCACAGCTGCCCCCTCCGATGGAGATCCTCTTGGAGCCACCCAGGCCATAGAGGCTCCTGCTGCCAAAGCCGGCTCCTCCACACACTCCACCGAAGCCACCACTGCCCCTGGAGCGGGACACGGAGACGCTGCTGAAGCCAGAGCGGCAGACCCCTGGGACTCTGGCTGAGCTGGCACTAAAGCCACGGTGGCCGATGCTTTGGCTCCTCATGGTGGATTTGCTAGACATGGTTCCTGAAGAGGAGAAGACTGAAGAAAGTGTGAGAGGCTGTAGGGTAGAGCTGAGAGGAGCAGATCAGTGAGATGAGCCTCCCAAGAGCAGTTTATATATGGTAGAAATGGGTTGGGCTCCGTCCTGGAAGGTGAGCTTGCAGGTTGGGAAGGGCTGATCTTTACAAATAGTGAGATCAGCCCCAGCCTCTTAAAGGTATGAAATGTGAAGATTGCTTCTTTGGCTTCCTTTAGTCATGGAGAAATTCTCCTGCCTTCTAGCCCTGATCATCCCAACACAATAAGGCTGGATATGTATTCACTGAAGTCATGAGTTAGTCATGTTCTCAAACAAAGAAGAGAGGAGCTGATCTGTGATAATTGTCCCTTCCTTCTGCTTACTCAGACAGTCCTCTGTGTGCCCCCTTCCCACACAGGTTTTCACCTCTACCAGCACCACCCTTCCCATCAGGGTGGGACTGACTCTGAGTTCTTATAGGCATTTGCCCAAAGGCCTGAGCAAGAAGTGGCCTGCAGTGTTTTTCACCATGTTTGTACCTGTCCTTCTGGAACTCCTGGCTGTTCTTCCTGGTGGCCTGTGCATGGAAATGGGGGCTATTTGGGGGACATAATCGTCTTTTGAAAAGCAAAGGGACAGAAGAGTTGAGTTTTTATGCTGTGCAGTCAGCATTTGCTCTCTGTCCTGTGTGATAAAGCTGGCCAATGGCAGTTTCCTGAGAGGACAGGAGACATCACCAAAGGCCACTCGCTGGAGACCTGACTTCTGCACCTCCCTCCTCAGTGCTTGCTTCCCACTGATCTGTTATTATGCAAAATTTTCTTTCCAACTGGCCTCCACAGACACCTTTTTCTCTCCTGGTTTGGAATGTTCACTTAGAACTTAAGGAATCTAAAATGAGTAGGACATAAATCACTGAGGAATTCACTGAATTTTTATTTTAACAGACTTTGATGCTTCTTAGGAATCAAGAAGCAGACACTTTAATGGGGTGTGTACATATAGAAACATATAGAAACAGTGAATCATAAAAATGTGCCCTTACATGTGTGATTACGTCACAAATAAATTCCAAATTTCTATTTCTAATCTCAGCACTTGAAATCTGAAATGGCTACACACCTCAGGGAAAGAGGGCTGTGAGTGAGTGTGGTGTTTGGCCTGGAGAGGAATGAGGTCCATTTTTCCCAGCCCACACATGAAGTCCTGAGCACCAGGAGCACTGAGAACAGTTACAGGCAGGCCGTTCTGTGAGAACACATGGGTAAATGGCAACCAGCGGAGGAAGGACAAACTTGCACATTAAGATGACCTGAGAAAAGCTCCTGTTACTATCTTAGAAATGTCCCATCTCTCCAGTGTTTTGGGGTGCCCAATATCCAGGAGGGCAGGTCATTTCCTGCCCAAAGGAGGTGCTCTCTAAGCATAGGGAAGAGATACCTTCTCAAGACAACAGAAACAGCTCCCTTCTTTCCACCCTGGTTGCACAATGACTGACCAAGAAATGTGCTTCCACCCAGTTCTGGGAAAGAAGTGTTCTTTCCCATGGCATGACTTTCTGCTCTGTTCTACTGTCTTGGGATAGAGGCTCTGAGTTTGGCTAGATGATGCAGGAGGGGTAGGAAGGGTTGGCGAGTCAGGTGGGAGCAGCACACATTTTCCCCAGTATTTGTATCTATAGCTGCTTTCATAGTGCAATGGTGGAGTTGGGTAGTTGCCACTGAGAGGGTACGGCTTGCAAAACCTAAATGGTTTACTATGTGGCCCTTTAAAGAAAATGTATGTCAACCCCTGGTTAAGAGCATGGGCTCTGGAGACAGAGTGCTCAGACTCATAACTAGGCTCATGTGTGTCTTTTTGAAAAGTATTCATTTTTACGGCTGTAAAGTGGGGGTGAAAATAGTACCTGCCTCACAGTGTTGCGGGGATTGCTGGAAATAATGCAGAGGCCTTAGCATAGGACCTGCACGGAAGTGCTCCGTTAAGATGAGCTAATATCATTATTATAATGCAGGTAGGAAGAAGCTTGGGTGGTTCAGGGATACACGAGAATCCTCAGGAACTGGAACACAGGTGCAGCTGTGTGTGTGGTGGAGGGGGCGGGGCTGGAAGAAATGATACCAACGCTGCAGGTTTGTGTCATATTGGTAAGGGCCTGGAAGCCAAACATGGGGCTTTGCACTTGCTCCCAGAAGCAGTACAGCGCCATGGAAGCCAGAAGAACAACAGAAGCAGAAGTATGATTTATAAGCTTACTGGTGCTCTGAGCAGCAGGCCAGGCAAAATCTCTGCTCGGGGGCAGAGGCAGTTCCTTGCCTAAGTGGTTGGGGGGAAATTGTGGCCAGAGAGAAGGAGGATCTGTGTCTTTGGCGGGAGCCCAGCAGACGGCTCTCTCTGTCCTGTGTGGAGTCAGGCTCCCCTGGGCCATCCTCTGCTGGGTTCTGCCCTTGGGGCGGTGCATGCAGGGACAGGCTGCTATCAACCAACCTAGGTGACCAGATCAGTGCCTCCTTTACTACTGATTTTATATCTTTTCCAGGGTGGGAGAAGACTCATCCCTGAATAAAAAGTGTGTAATTCTGTTGTAGCGAGAACCTCATATTCAACTAGTTAGCCAGTCAAAGGATGGTTTAACTTGAACATATTATCCACTTCCCAGCTTGGCATGTGCACCAGATAGCTCCAGCAATATGAAGTATTATGTTTCATTTCCTGACACATGTTTTTCTCCTGTCAATAGATTTCTAAGACATTACATATTATTTTATATTCTATTCTCTCTAATATATATAAAGATGTATTTTTTCCCCAAAATTCTCATCACTACCTGCCAGGGAATGATGCCCTGGGAACCAATTCTGGTGACCCTGACCATGCGTGAGGTCAGCTAGGACCACAGGCTCCTACGACAGTGGAGGGGGAGTTAGAGAAGAGGGGCCCCATGGCAGGTCCATTTCTGATTTCACTCTTTTCCTGTCCCACCACCCTTAAAAGGTTAAGTTTGTACTTGATTCATTTGCCCTTGATTTTCTGTATCTTTGGCGGCAGGGAGGTGCCCTCTCTTCTACATTCCACTTTGACCCTGCCGTCCTGGGCTAAGCTGTCCTTTTCCTCCTCTAGAGTCCAGTCTCCTGCCCCTCTGCTCCTGCTTCCACACTCAGGAGAGGGCTGTGCTCACAGGCAGTGGGGACCCACTGGATGGTCAGAAGAATTGATTTCTCCAATGAAATCTCCCCAGTGTTCCAGAATCATGTCCCATGGTGGTTATATTTTCCCAGAGGAGCAGGGTGGAGAAGGCCAGACCTTCCTAACAAGATTCAAACAAAGGGTGATAGTTCAGGCAACTGTGTGAGAGAAACTAAAAGCAAACAATGTGAGTAAAGCCGATGACAGCCGGCCTCCTCCCCAGCAGGCTGCCGAACCCAGCCTCTTCCCTCTGCCAGGACAGCCTCCAATCAGTGCTGTTGTCTGATGGCTTTGGAATGAAGAAGGCCTTTGTTCCAGGGCCCGGGGGTTCACCTGTGCTCCTTGCATTTTTTCCGTCATGGAGGAAGGCAGGAAGGAAGCCCAGAAGCCTGAGCCCATGCAAAGTCTGCCTCAAGAGGATTTGCCTTGTCTTTCTGCCTCCCTGGATGGAGCTGGCAGATGAGACTGAGGGATAGACTATTGTCATCATCCATCAAAAGTTTAAGACTAAGTGCCTAATTTACAAGTCAGGAAACGACAGATGTTGGCGGGGATGCGGAGAAAGGGGAACCCTCCTACACTGTTGGTGGGAATGCAAGCTGGTGCAGCCACTCTGGAAAACTGTATGGAGGTTCCTCAAAAAGTTGAAAATAGAGCTACCCTACGATCCAGCAATTGCACTACTGGGTATTTACCCCAAAGATACAAAAGTAGGGATCCGAAGGGGTACGTGCACCCCGATGTTTATAGCAGCAATGTCCACAATAGCCAAACTGTGGAAAGAGCCAAGATGTCCATCGACAGATGACTGGATAAAGAAGATGTGGTATATATATACAATGGAATATTATGCAGCCATCAAAAGGAATGAGATCTTGCCATTTGCAACGACGTGGATGGAACTGGAGGGTATTATGTTGAGTGAAATAAGTCAAACAGAGAAAGACATGTATCATATGATCTCATTGATATGAGGAATTCTTAATTGCAGGAAACAAACTGAGTGTTGTTGGAGTGGGGGGTGGGGTGGGAGGGATGGGGTGACTGGGTGATAGACACTGGGGAGGGTACGTGCTCTGTTAAGCGCTGTGAATTGTGCAGGACTGTTGAGTCTCAGATCTGTACCTCTGAGACAAATAATGCAAGATATGTTAAGAAAAAAAAAGAAGAAGAAGAAGGTAGCGGGAGGGGAGGAATGAAGCGGGGGAAATCGGAGGGGTGGACGAACCATGAGAGAAGATGGACTCTGAAAAACAAACTGAGGGTTCTAGAGGGGAGGGGGGTGGGAGGATGGGTTGGCCTGGTGGTGGGTATTGAGGAGGGCACATTCTGCATGGAGCACTGGGTGTTGTGCACGAACAATGAATCATGGAACACTTCATCTAGAACTAATGATGTAATGTATGGGGATTAACATAAGAATAAAAAATAAATAAATTAATTAAAAAAAAAAAAAAAAAGACTAAGTGCCTAATCCTGCCAGCCCCAGTGCAGGATGATGCTGTTCAGAGGGAATTCCACAGACCCAGTTCTGTCCCTTGGGAGCACCCACTGGAAGAAAAACACTGGCAGCCACCTGTGTCAAGACAGTAGCACCCTTGGGCGCCTGGGTGGCTCAGTTGGTTGAGCGGCTGCCTTCGGCTCAGGTCGTGATCCTGGAGTCCCGGGATCGAGTCCCACGTCGGGCTCCCTGCCCGGCGGGGGGTCTGCTTCTCCCTCTGACCCTCTTCCCTCTCGTGCTCTCTGTCTCTCATTCTCTCTCTCAAATAAATGAATAAAATCTTTAAAAAAAAAAAGACGGTAGCACCCAAGTTGGAGTAGAAAGGCAGCCTTCTATGCTCCATAGAGCAGTTCAGGCAGTATGGAAACTTCC